TAATAATTGCAAAAATCAACAGAGAAGGAGCTCTCTGGATTTTATAAACTGAGATGCACTGTACCTTTCCTCAAGATGTTTGGGTTTTCTTCATGTAAAATTGGATTTTGCTTGCTTTAAAACATAGTTAACAAAACAGAATATATGAATCAAAAGTCTTCCAATTCTAAGGAAAAGATTAAAACGTCCTCCAGTTCAGTCCCGTCATCTCACCAATGACTACATAAACAGCACTTTCATTTTATTATCTCATTAAACTTGCATACATCCATCACCTCCTCTGCAGCCTTTCGGAAGGCACTGTCCTACACATTATATTCACAACCCAGTATTCATCGAGCCTCGGTCTCTGACGGATACTTGAAGCTTGCATGAATCCAATCCTTTTTTTTTAATGGTGAGCAGAGTCCCTGGTTACAGCCAGCCATCACGCAACGTGGTGTTATGCGAAGGTCATTTATACAGCTGTCCCAGCAGCCCTTAATCCTGGGAACTGCAACACCCTCCCTCTTCTATTCTTGGGTCCCTTCACAAGAAAGGCACTGAGCTGCTTAAGACGGCACAGCGGACTCAGGATTTCCTCTTTCCTTGGTGTCCACCACTTCTTTTTTTTCTCCTCTTCTGATGACATGGAAACACTGTGTACCCCACACACTTAACCCCCATTTTTAAAAAAGAAAGACCTGGGGAACTACAGGCCCATCAGTCTCACCTCTGTGCCCGGCAAGATCATGGAGTCGATCCTCCTAGAAACTACGCTGAGGCACATGGAAAATAAGGAGGTGACTGGTGACAGCCAACATGGCTTCACTAAGGGCAAATCGTGCCTGACAAATTCGGTGGCCTTCTACGACAGGGTTACAGCTTTGGTGGATAAGGGAAGAGCAACTGACATCATCTACCTGGACTCGTGCAAAGCATTCAACACTGTCCCGCACGACATCCTTGTCTCTACGTTGGAGAGACATGGATCTGATGGATGGACCACTCGGTGAATAAGGAATTGGCTGGACGGTCGCACTCAAAGAGTTGCGGTCAACGGCTCGATGTCCGAGTAGAGACCAGTGATGAGTGGTGTTCCTCAGGGGTCGGTATTGGGACCATCACTGTTTAACATCTTTGTCAGTGACGTTGACAGTGGGATTGAGTGTACCCTCAGCAAGTTTGCTGATGACATCAAGCTGTGTGGTGTGGTTGACATGCTGGAGGGAAGGGATGCCCTCCAGAGGGGCCCTGACAGCCTTGAGAGGTGGGCCCGTTCGAACCTCATGAAGTTGAACAAGGTCAAGTGCGAGGTCCTGCACATGGGTTGGGGCAATCCCAAGCATGTGTACAGGCTGGGCGATGAGTGGAATGAAAGCAGCCCTGAAGAGAAGGACTTGGGGGTGTTGGTTGACAAGAAGCTCAACACGACCCAGCAATGTGCGTTTGCAGCCCAGAAAGCAACCATATCCTCGGCTGCATCACAAGAAGCATGACCAGCAGGTCAAGGGAGGTGATTCTCCCCCTCTACTCTGCCCTTGTGAGACTCCACAAGTCTGGAATACTGCATTCAGCTCTGGGGTACCCAACATAAGAAGGGCATGGACCTGTCAGAGCAAGTCCAGATGGTCAGAGGGCTGGAGCACCTCTC